GTGAGTGGCCACAGTCCCCGAGGCCCATGCTGGGGCAGACTGGAGGGAGGGTCCAGATTTTGAAGGAGGGACAACTCACCCCTACTTGCGTTGTCCACAGCAAGGCCCAGAAGCACCGGGGATCACTCGAAATGGCAGACCAGATGCAGAGACTGAGCCTGGAGGAGAGGCCTGGGGATGTCCCCCTGGCCCGCATCCAGCACCTCTTTTCCTTCAGGGCTTCAGGATCTGGTCAATTCCCTGAGCCCGAGAAGGAGAGTTTCCAGGAGCGCCTGGCTCTGATCCCCAGTGGTACGGTAGTAGGCTGCAGCTGGCTCTTCTGTCCTTGTTTGCATCTTCTTACTAAGGAGTTAGGTGGAGGACTTTAAGGCATTGGTTAACATAGATTTATGACCTTTATGGAAGGACATGTCATATCTTTTCATTGATTAGTCATTTTGTTACTCTCACCAAAGAGAACTACCCTAAATCTGAAAGTCTTTTTTTTTTTTAAGATTTTATTTATTTATTTATTAGAGAGAGAAAGTCAGAGATAATGACAGAGAGCATGAGTGGGGAGAGGTGGGAGAAGCTCCCCACTGAGCAGGGAGCCCGATGTGGGACTTGATCCCAGGACCCTGGGATTGTGTGACCTGAGCTGAAAGCAGACGCTTAACCAACTGAGCCACCCAGGTATGCCCCTCCACCAACTTTAACTTTGAGTTACTAGCAGGTTCAGTGTCTTTCCGCAGGGGTGAGTTCAGGCGTGCAGAGGCTTCCTATGCTAACATGAAATCCGTTACCAGATGATTTGAGTGCCTCCCTCTGTGCAGGAACTTCTGTTTCTGTGAGGGACACAAAGAAGTACAAGATGTGGTCTCTGTCCACAGGCGGCTGTTAGGGCAAGGGAGAGCACCTTGAACTAGTGACAAGGGAAGATTTCTTGGAGTTGTTGGAGTTGTCTTGAGTGATAAATGGGGATTGAGTGCAGAAGACGGAGAAGGGGATTCCTTGTAAGAGCTGAAATGATCCTGGTATGCTCTCTGTGGCAGGGGTGACCGTGTGTGTGTTGGCTCTGGCCACGCTCCAGCCTGGAACTGTGGGCGACACCCTCCTGCTGACCCGGCTAGAAAAAGACAGTCCCCCAGTCACTGTGCAGATCCCAACTGCCCAGAACAAGGTAGGTTTCCTGGGCCAGTAAGTTGGGCTGGGGTAGGCTTCTGGTGAAGCTGCTCCCATTCTGTGGCTGGGGGACGGAGAGATGGTGATCGTGTGGACCAGCAGAAAGCTCACAGCCCCATCTCTCAAAGTTTCCTCTGAGTTCAGCCCTGAAAGAGTTTGACGCCATCCAGAAGGAGCAGAAAGAGAACAGCAGCTGTACTGACAAGCGAGAGTGGTGGACAGGGCGGCTAGAACTGGACCATAGGATGGAGGTGTGTGTCTGCAAGGTGGGGTGGGGTCAGGCCTGCCCTGGGAGTGACCCCGGGGGTGTCAGTGTCTTCTCTCTCAGGGGTCCCAGGCCAGTGCTGAGTTACCTCAGGTCCTTTCTGGAAGCATCGGCCTAAATTTTAAAAAATGATGTTACCTGGCAAAGACTTTAAACAAGAGCCAAAAACCTGAAGGTGTTATGGCAACAGAATGTTTAAAGATACATACAAGAAAAGGGATTTAATTTACGCCCAAGTATCAGCTTCCTGGGTTTAGTTTTCATCGCCCGCCTATTTGTATTTGTCAAAACATAGTGATATGTAATAAATCATCTTATCTGTACTCCCCTAGTCTCAGCAAATGAAAAATGTTTCTAGCTTCTTGCCTTTTTTTTTTTTTTTTTAAGAGGGGGAGAGAGAGAGGAGGCGGGAGGGGCAGAGGGAGAGGGAGAGAGAGAATCTGAAGAAGGCTCCACGCCGAGCGTGGAGCCCGACACGGGGCTCCATCTCACGACCCTGAGATCACTACCTGAGCCAAAATCAAGAGTCAGACGCTTAACTGACTGAGCCACCCAGGTGCCCCTCTAGCTTCTTGCCTTTTTAACTGGCAGGAAGATATGTAAGACAAATATGCTGGAAAACCCATTTCATCATGTCCAGAATGTTGGTGACTGTGGGATAAGAAACTCAGCTCCTCTCTGGGACTAAAGGTTCTATTCCTCCTCATTCAGGTTCTCATCACTTCCCTAGAGAAGCATGTGTTGGGCTGCTGGAGGGGACTGTTGCTGCCATCCAGTGAGGACCCTGGCCCTGCCCAGGAGGCCTCCCGCCTACAAAAGTTGCTGCAGGAATGTGGCTGGAAATATCCTGACCCCACTCTGCTGAAAGTGAGTTGAGAAATCAGGGAAAGGGGAAGAAGCTAGACTTAATAATTCTTTCTCACTGACCACTGTTCCCTTGCAGGCCATGCTCAGTGGTGCCAGTACCCTCACTCCTCAGGACGTTCAGACCCTGGCCTCTGGGCTGTGCCCAGTGCGGCCGGAACGAGCCCAAGAGCTTCTGAGTGAGGCAGTAGGACGCCTGCAGGGTCAGACAGTCCCAAGCGACAGGCACCTTGTCCTAGTGCTAGACAAGGTAAGGAGCTAGGGGCTGGAGGGGCAGTGTCTGGTGGACAGTGGGCACCAACTCACCCCCATGCCCCTTCCGACACTTGTGTGAGCCTGCCTGGAGATAGTCATCCCCGTGTGCTTTTACCCCAGGACCTGCAAAAGCTGCCGTGGGAGAACATGCCCAGCCTCCGGGCACTGCCTGTCACTCGGCTGCCCTCCTTCCGCTTCCTGCTCAGCTACTCCATCATCAAAGAGGTGGGGTTCAGGGAGTGGGGAATGACTGGTGATTGACAGAGATCTGGGAAGACAGGAGAGGGTCTCGGGGACCGATGGCTCATTCGTGGAAAGGAGTTTGGAGTTTGTGGAAGCTTGGGCCCTCTGGCCAGACCAGGGTCCTGATCATCAGTATCTTCTCCTCAGTCTGGGGCCTCATCAGTGCTAAGCCAAGGGGTGGATCCACGCAATACCTTCTATGTTCTGAACCCTCACAATAACCTGTCAAGCACAGAGGAGCAATTTCGAGCCCATTTTAGCAGGTCAGTGGGATAAGAGTAAGAAAGGGGGTGGGGGAGAGCAGAGACCACATAGAGGGGCTCATATACTTTCCTGCAGAATCAAGTGGTACAGCCCACCTTCTCCCTAGTATTCCCTCTGCCCTCTTTGCCAACTGACCCCAATTCTTACTCCTACCTTTTCCCCCCGCAGTGAAGCTGGCTGGAGAGGGGTGGTTGGGGAAGTGCCAAGCCCAGAGCAAGTGCAGGTGGCCTTGACGGAGCATGACTTATATATGTGAGTGCCTAAGGCAGGGAGGTGGGGAGAGGGGCAGGCCCTGGAGGAGGGCGTCACCAGAGTTTTCTTTGGGGCTTTGAAGTCACTGGCTGACTCAGGGCGCCCTTGGAAACATGGCCGAGGCCGGGTATTGCTAGGTCAGACTTGTCTCACGTCCCTCTGCCTTAGCTACGCAGGGCACGGGGCTGGCGCCCGCTTCCTGGATGGACAGGCCATCCTCCGGCTGAGCTGCCGGGCGGTGGCCCTGCTCTTTGGCTGCAGCAGTGCGGCCCTGGCTGTGCACGGGAGGCTGGAGGGGGCTGGCATCGTGCTCAAGTATATCATGGCTGGCTGGTGAGTCCTGAGGGCCCTTCCTAGCTCCCAGCCAGGCTCTTTCCCCGGCCTGAACCCTAAATCTTCTCTTGTGCCCCCCCCCCGTTCTAGTTCCCTGGCATGCCTGGGCCTTTAATCTTTGCCCTCTTCTGCCCCCCCTCCTGGAACTAGGGCACTTCTCATTGGCTCACTCCTCTTTCCTCACCCACCACCGCCAGTCGTGTCTGCCTATGTATTTTGTTTTAGAGCCCTCACTTTGTAGTTCTTCTCTTTTCCCAGTCCCCTGTTTCTGGGTAACCTCTGGGATGTGACTGACCGTGACATCGACCGCTACACGGAGGCTCTGCTGCAGGGCTGGCTTGGAGCAGGCCCAGGAGCCCCCCTTCTCTACTATGTCAGCCAGGCCCGCCAGGCTCCCCGACTCAAGTATCTTATCGGGGCTGCACCTGTGGCATATGGTTTGCCTGTCTGCTTGCGATGACCCCTTGGAGCTGTCCTAGTGCCAGGCCGGTGGAAGCCATGTGACTTTTCTACCTCCCATTAGACTTAACCCTTAGGACAAATATTTTAAGTGATTTTTCCCAGTATTTTATATGAAACCTTTCCCTTTGATTTAACCTTAATATAATAAAGATGAAGTACTTGAACCTGTTTTGTGTGGTTCATTGGAGAACATTTGTAGACACAATTATTGGCCCCGCCCACTATGTGGTACTATAAAGAGGTGAGAACAGCTTGCAGTGGAAGTGCGCGCTCTCTCTCGCTGACAAATAAAATCTTAAAAAAAAAAAAAAAAAAAAGAGGCCACCGTCCTCTCCCCACATATGCCTTCTCAGGCCATGAACTTTAGCAGCAGATTCCGTGGGATTTTCGTATGGTTTTTCTCTCCCCAACCAGATTGTTAAATGCCTCGGAAGCACGTTATCTTACAATCCCGTGTATCCCTCACATCTAACACATGGTAAAACATCGTTTTGATTACTAAACCTTGTGCTGTGCTTGCTGGTTGACAACGTGACTCCTTGTGGTTCTCTCCCCCACCAGACCTTTCCACCGTGTGAGCCCAAAGGACCACTCACGATGCTGCTTGACCCGCGAATTTCACAGGCTTCTTTCTTGCCTGTGGTTCGTTAGGTTTAGAGCACCCACACGGAGTAGCATACGTTACTTCGCAATGTTGTGGTGATGAACCGGGTATTTTTAAGCTTTTTAAGCTCCCTGAGGGAAGTAGTCCTGTTTGCTCCACCTTTACTCTGGTAGGCGTCGGAGGTTTTGTGAAAACAAGGCGCAGCTTTCGCCAAACCAATGTAAGTCCCCGAAAGGCTCCGGCCCGCCCTTCCCCGCCCCGACGAAGGACCATAGAGATGCCCGGCAAGCGAGGCCTCCTGGCGCAGCCATCGAGATGCGCAGCGGGCGGCTAGAGCGTTGCTGGTCGAGCCGGCTTCCGCTCCGTTAGTCCTCCTTCCCAACATGGCGCAGTCAGTTAACATCACCGAGCTGAGCCTGCCGCAGCTAGAAATGCTCAAGAACCAGCTGGACCAGGTGGGGACGGGCGGCAGAGACACCCCATTCCCGCTTCACGTGCCTCCTGCCCACGCGTCCTCCCTCGCCCCCCATTCCTCCCCTCTTTGGGAGGCTTCCCTTCCCCTGGGAAACCCCCACCCCACCCCACCCCATCCCAGGATCGGCCTCCTCTCCGGCAGTGCCCCCTCTCTCTCCAGCCCCCCACAATGATCCTATTTCCCGTCCTCTGTAGGAAGTGGAGTTCCTGTCCACGTCCATTGCCCAGCTCAAGGTGGTACAGACCAAGTATGTGGAAGCCAAGGACTGTCTGAACGTGCTGAACAAGAACAACGAGGGTATGGGGTAGGCGCGTGAAGGCAACCTGGGGGATGTGGTGAGCCGGCTACTCTCGTCCCGCCTTCTAATCCCGTTGTCCTTACCTGAGATGAGAAAGCAATCCTTTACGTACTGTAGAGCGCTACAGGAGCCCTTTCATGTTGCCTATCTAGAGTTGAAATGTACAGGACATTCCTCTGCTGTTGTCCCTGTTTCCGTTCTTGTCTTAAGATCTCTCATTCTCTCTGCCATCTTGGAACTCTCTTTAACGTCTTAACCTTCCCCAGATGTTTGTCTTAATTGCTTTCACAGGGAAAGAATTACTCGTCCCACTGACGAGTTCTGTATCCTTTCCACAGAAACTGCTACCCTGCTCTTTCCTTTTCTCTCTCACCCCTCGCCCGAAAAAAAAGAAAAAAAAAAAGATGGGATTAGTTTTGATTACTCTAGAGAGTCCCCATGATTCTGAGAACGCTCTTATTATGCATTCTTTGTACCTCTCCTACCTAACCTGGGGCCAACATCCAGCTAATGCCTTGTGAGCACCAGGGCATATGTAGAATTGAGATGTGATTATTTCCCTTTGCTGTTTGAGAATATCCTCTAATAGGAAGACAAAACAGGTGGGTTTAGACTTTTACTAATAACTTAGAAGAGATAAACGATGGAAGAATAACAGGATATAGAAACAAGGGGGTTGGCTGTGTTTATGAATCCTGTTTTGGCTTACCTATGGCTCTTATTTCTAAACTGTTGTTACCAAGAAACCTGGATTGTGGCTACCCGTTCAGTGTTTTACTTGAATGAGTTAAGTTATGACAGTAGAGCATCTGTAAGCTGTAGTCTGAGAACTGACAGGCTGAAAAAGAAATACAGAAGCAGTGTGGTAGGGGTTGGCTAAATAGTGAGCATTAAATCCACTAGGAATTAGCTAGTGATTTCATGACTGGGGCTGTTGATGGAAAGTGAAGCCGGCTTTTCACTTTACTACTCTCCAGCAGTAGGAAAATATCATTGTATCTAGTCCTTCTGGGGGGGCTAGTGGAAAAAACTGTAAGAACTGCTTGTAGGATGGGAGATGGGATCAGGGCAAGAGAGTGTTCTAGCATATGCCATTTTCTCCATAAGGAGCCAACTTCTCTGTCCCTTCCCATTTGGAGTGTATGGGTACAGTTCTAAGGCCTCCAGATTCTTCAGTCCTTGTGGCTTGTAGCTTTTTAGAAAAGAAGGCCAAGCAGGCTGGCTGACAGGGAATCATGACACTCCTGCTGGGCTAGTTTTCCCTTAATCCTTGCTTCTCAGATGTATGTCCCTGGGAAGCTACATGATGTGGAACATGTACTCATCGATGTGGGAACAGGCTACTATGTAGAAAAGGTGAGTGGAAGTAACCACCTGGATGCCCCTCTGAGCAGGGAAAGGAAGTTTAGGGGAAGACCTAGAATGCAGCATAGGGTCTCCTCTTAGCCCTTCATTCACCTCTGACCTTGCAGACAGCTGAGGATGCCAAGGACTTTTTCAAGAGGAAGATAGACTTCCTTACCAAGCAAATGGAGAAAATCCAGCCAGCTCTGCAGGAGAAGCATGCCATGAAACAGGGTAAGATTGGCCTGGGGCACCTCTTCACCCTTTCTACTTCCATGGTAAAGAGCATGGATTCCAGTATGAACTGGGGGTGTCCCCTTGGCTAGATTAAAACCATGTCTTTCTCTTTGGTGTCTAGATGTATTCTCTAGATTCTGTGCATTACATATCCACTATTTGTAGATTGCTGTGTTGGGTGCTTGCGAAATTTAGAGGAAGGAAATCATCCTTGTTCTTGGGGTGTTCTATTTAATGGGGATGGAATTGAGGAGATGATATGTGTAAATGAACACACAGGAAAGAAATAACAGCCCTAACTAAGTACTAGCCATTGCAACCCTGGCTACACATGAGAATAACCCAGGATGTTTAAAGAGGAAGCCTGAGTCCAAGCCAAACCAATTAAATCAACCTGGGGGTGGGGGGACTCTAGGGGGTCAGTGTTTTTCTAAAAACTGCCCAGGAAGGGGCGCCTGGGTGGCTCAGTTGGTTAAGCGACTGCTTTCGGCTCAGGTCATGATCCTGGAGTCCCAGGATCGAGTCCCACATCAGGCTCCCTGCTCAGCAGGCTCCCTGCTGACCCTCCTCTCTCTCATGCTCTCTGTCTCTCATTCTCTCTCTCGCAAATAAATAAAATCTTAAAAAAAATAAAAAAATAAAAATTCCCCAGGTAATTCTGTTACACGGTCAGGATTGAGAATCACTGTTCTAAAGGTGAAAATCTTATCCACAGTTATGTTTGACTCGTTTAATAATGTGTTTTGTTCATTTTTATGTCTCAGTGGTTATCATATATTTACTGACACATTGTAGACTGTAAATTTGTGTATGCATGTAAATGTGTCCCACAGTGGATCAGTGTTAAAAGCTTTGGGGTTGTTTTGTTTTGTTTTGTTTTTAATTATTTGAGAGAGTGCGCGAGCAGGGTGGGGGGAAGAGCGGGGGGAGAGACTCTCAAGCGGACTCCATGCTGAGCTAGGAGCCGGAAGTGGAGCTCCATCTCAAGACCCTGAGATCAGGATCTGAGCCGAAACCAAGAGTCCCACGCTTAACCAACACCACCACCCAGGCGCCCCTCACTGTGTTATAAGTTTTATTAACGGTACTTGGTTGTCTACCTGTCTTTAAATTTTTTCCTCGCGTTTCCTGAACTCTGGGTTCTCCCCTCAAGCTCCAGACCAGGATCTGACGCTTCTTTTTTCCCGCAGCTGTCATGGAGATGATGAGCCAGAAGATTCAGCAGCTCACAGCCCTGGGGGCACCTCAGGCTACTGCCAAGGCCTGAGAGCTTGTTTCGGATCTGGGGCAGAGGGACTCTGCCTCAGGAGCTTGGGACTTTGTGGGCGTGGCTTCCTGGGGTCCAGGAAGAGAACGATCTTGTGTTTGATGCTAATAAATGTGCCAGCTGGGCAGAATGTTGGTCTTTTCTTGCATGAAGCAAAGGACTGGTGATGACATGGGAGGGCGGTGACGGGCATGCTGTGCCCCTCCCCAGAGCCTGCTCAGTTAGTGGGGGATGCAGTGCTTATCTCGGAGGCTCCACCCTGGGCCTTTGGAGGAGTCCGGCAGAAATTCTGCGAGGCGCCGCTCTCTGCGGGCCGGTTGCCGTGGGAACGGCCGTCCGGCGGAAATGGAGCTGCGCGTGCGCTTCCTCTTCCGGGTCGACGACCCCCCCCCCCCCCCCCCCCGACCCGAGGCTGCATGGGCTGCCGCTTCCCGCGCGGTCTCCTACATCTGCTGCGGCCGCCGCCAGCCTCGCGACCCCGGCCCCGTGGGCTCAGCCTGGAGTCCGTCCCGCCGTCCAAGCGACCCCGCGACAGCCTCATGGCGCCACCCCGAATCGGCACGCACAACGGCACTTTCCACTGCGATGAAGCCCTGGCGTGCGCACTGCTGCGCCTCCTGCCCGAGTACCGGGTACGATCCGCGGAAACTGACCCCGGGACCCCTGAGGGCTTCCGGGGCGGGCTGCGCCTGAGCACCCCCTCCTTCCCCGAACATTCATTCTCTCTCTGCACGACCCTGGCCGTCCCCTCACCTCCTGTGTCCGCTGCAGGATGCAGAGATTGTGCGGACCCGGGACCCCGAAAAACTGGCTTCTTGTGACATCGTGGTAGATGTGGGTGGCGAGTACGACCCTCAGAGACACCGATATGACCATCACCAGAGGTGAGTGCCCAGATTGCATTTCTTTAGCGTCCTTGACTTCAGCTTTGTTCTGGGCCCCAAGGCAGCCATCCGCTGCGGTGGTCCGTGCCCGCGAAGGGAACCGCCTCATCCTGGAAAGCCAGCTGCTGAGTGCCACGGGACTACAGCCTGCCGGCTCGCCCCCTGCTTTGCGACCATCCCCCGGCCTTGGGCCTCCCTGGCTTCCAGGCGGTCCTCACGCCCCTCCCCGCCGGCCGCCTTCCTTGGCCCAGTCAGGATTTTCTCCCACTAGCACCATCCTCACCCCAGTTAATACCCCAGTTCAGATTGGTCCTTTCACGTGCCCTTGCTGCCCCACTTCAGACTGCTGGGCCCACACGGCAGCGGTGGTGGTGACAGCTCAGATGTATGTGGTCCTCTACTTCATTTATACTCGTACATTGGGAAATCTTTCTTTTCCAAGGCTGACCCATTATCCATGGTACCATTTCAGTCCTCTTCCTCTCAGGCCCCTACCTCCTCAAACTCCCTCAGTGAGTGACCCTGCCACCTCCTTTTCAAAGGAAATTGAGCCTTTCCTGCATGCGCATCCGCAGATTCCCGTTCCCAAGCATCCTCCGCTCCCTCTTTCCAGTTCAGGAAACATTGTTCCCTTCTGTTTGCCCCTTTTGTGATCTATTACTTTCTCCTCGGGGGGCTCACACCACCGTTCTCCCCAGTGTTTGTTTGTTTCTCTTTTAAGATTTTATTTACTTATTTGAGAGAGTGAGAGAGCATGAGCAGTTGGAGGGGCAGAGCTTCAAGAGGGAGAAGCAGGCTCCACTCGGGGCTCCATCCCAGGACCCTGGGATCATGACCTGAGCCGAAGGCAGGCACTTAACCCACTGAGCCACCCAGGCGCCCCCTCCCCCAGCCTAAAACTCTGCCCAAGCGTCTCCATTTGGAAATCAAGAGTAAATAATAAACCCAACCCTCCCTCATATACCCCACACTGCTTAAAGTGGGGATCTCTGACAGAGTATGAGGATATTTTATTGTAATTTTAAGTATTTTTCTCCCTTTCCCTTTTTTTTTTTTTTTTAAGTGTACGTATTACATCCATAAATGATGTGGTGGGGGAACCCTCCTGCTGTTTATAGCCTCATCTCTTACCCTCCCTTCTCAGCCTCTCATCAATGAAAGAGCTGGCCCTGGTTCCACATCCCTTCCAGTTCATTCCGTTCATTCTTTCTGCTGGTCCTCTCCCAATCTCTCCACTGGAAATGTTCATGGAAAGGGCCCCTCAACACCGAACTCAGGTTGCTGGTGGAGGGTCTCACCTTAACAGACCTCTTTGTAGCACTCGACAATATTGAGTAATTCCTTTTTCCTAATGATTTTATATATATATTTTTTAACTATGCAGTATTTGATACATAAAACGATGTATTTAGAACTTTTGGAATATAAAACACGTAACAAACACCCATGGACTGATCTCCCAACCTCAGAACTAGAAGACTACCATTACCTTTGCATCTGGGCACCAGTACTTCTTTGCTGTCCCAGTCCCCTGCCTCCCCAGAAGCAAGCGGTGTCCTTAATTCCGTGTTCATCATACCCCTGTTCTGTGTAGTTTAGCGCGTATGTCTGTTTCCATCAACAATTTCGTTTAGCTTCTTTTTGGACTTTTATCTGGGGGCTTACTATGCATTAATCTTTATACCTTGTGAACATTTTATAAATATTTTTGTATTTACTCAATAATAAAAAACAGTAAAGCAAAAAATAAGCTCTCTAGCTGATTCTGACAGACTGGTATTAGAAATTACAGCAGTAGTTTCTACTTCCCTCAGGACTGTCATACCATTTCCCTATTCTCTGTGCCACTGAGAATTCAGATTTCTGCTTTCCTCACTCCCCTGCACCTGCGGGTGACCTTGCATTTGTTCTGCATGCTGGCTGGCACAGTGCTCTCACATGAACTTGTCCACTGAAAATTTCTCAGTGGCTCCCCACTACCTACAGATAAAGTCCAAAATCCAAACTATGGTGGACGAGGCCTGCCATGATCTGGCCCTTGCTTACCCTCTAGCTTTATTTTTTTTGCCACTCCTCATACCCAAGCTGCCTTTCTTGCAGTTCCATATAGAGACCTGTCTTAGCCATTGTAAGAGATGTTGTTCCATCTACCTGGAATGCCTTTTCTCCTTGACCTTTTGTCTGGCTGGCGAACACCTAATTCCTCTTTTAAGAATGACCTGAGGGCGCCTGGGTGGCTCAGTTGGTTAAGCGACTGCCTTCGGCTCAGGTCATGATCCTGGAGTCCTGGGATCGAGTCCCGCATCAGGCTCCCTGCTCAGCGGGGAGCCTGCTTCTCCCTCTGACCCTCCCCCCTCTCATGTGCTCTCTCATTCTCTCTCTCTCAAATAAATAAATAAAATCTTAAAAAAAAAAAGAATGACCTGAAATCTCTCTTCCCCTCTTTCCTTTGTTTATAACCTAGCTAGAGCATTCGCTTGGTTGTTTGTGGGCTTGTCTGCCTGTAGTAGATGAACTTGAAGGAAGGGACATTGTCTTAGGGTTTTGGTTTTGTTGGGTTTTTTGTTGTTGTTTTTTAAGATTTTTTTAAATTTATTTGTCAGAGGGAGAGCACAAGCAGGGGGAGCGGCAAGCAGAGGGAGAAGCAGGCTCCCCACTGAGCAGGGAGCCCAAGGCGGGGCTCCATCCCAGGACCCTGGGATCGTGACCTGTCAAGGCAGACACTTTACCAACTGAGCTACCCAGGCGCCCTTGTCTTAGGGGTTTTTTTTTACCCCTGATGTCTAAAACGCAAAGCCTGGCATGTAGTAAGCATTGAATTAACCATCGTCAAATGAAAGCGTGAATGGAGACTCCAAGCTGAGGTCCATGTTGAACCCCAAGGAAAAGCTAAAGCCCCACAGCTGGGCACCCTCCTCCCAACTCCTGAGTGTTCTCCAGCCTCCACCCCCTCGAGCCTGCACATGCAGGCACATGCTGTGGGCTAACTGGGGCAGCTCTGCCTCAGTCCTACCTCCCTGTGCTCCTCAGATCTTTCACAGAGACCATGAGCTCCCTGTCTCCTGGGAAGCCTTGGCAGACCAAGCTGAGCAGTGCGGGACTCATCTATTTGCACTTCGGGCACAAGCTGCTGGCCCAGTTGCTGGGCACCAGCGAAGAGGACAGCATGGTGGGCACCATCTATGACAAGGTGGGGACCCAAGGACAGAGATGACCCATAAATGTGTCTCCACCAACTGGGAATGGCACTCATGCAGGACTGGGCCTCAGGACTCCTGGCCTACAGTTGGCTCAGCACCTTCTCCCTCGGTCAGGCTCATCTTCTCACAGGGGATGGCTCATCTCTCTCACCTCTATCCCGGGGTGGTTGTGAGAAGTGGGTGAGGTAGTGTTCGGGGAAGGGCTTTGAAAACCATAAAGCAGTGTTTCCTGATCTTTTTCTTGACCTGACATGCATAAAAAATGATTGTTCAACAACTTGGTAATAGAAGAGGCTGCTTGTGTTGGGAAGCACATGGCTTAGAGGTTCTGGCTGCCCTGAAGGTGGAGGGAAGCGTATCTGGGACACGAATTGGGACGTTCAGCTGGGAAGGGTTGGATTATGAAAGTATCTTCAGGTTCCACCAGCATCCCCTGCGAGCAGCTCAGCACGTTCCTGCTTCGGGGAAGGAATGGGGGTACACCTGTCAGATCAGTGATTCTGAGGACACCTGCTTGACCCCCCACGCCTGTGACATTCACTAGTCAAGCTGCAGATTCCGTCAACTCTGGTTTTTGCAGAAGCCATGGAGTTCGGTTCTGTCATGACACAGCGTTAGTACAACCCAAAGAAGTGAAGAAATATGAATGGTTGAATTGGAGCTTTGGGAATACTAAGGTTTTTAGATTGCCTGAGTCCATTTTCCCTTCTGCTGAGGGGCTTCTAATTTTTTTTTTTTTTTAAGATTTCCTTTATTTATTTGAGAGAGAATAAAAGAAAGAGTGCACAAGTGGGGGGGGGGCTGAGCAAGGAGCCTGATGTGTGGCTTGATCCCAAGACCTTAGGATCATGACCTGAGCTGAAGGTACACGCTTAACCAACTGAGCCACCCATGCCCCCTGCTGAGGGGCTTCTAAGCAACTGAAGTAGATTATACCAAGTTTCAGTTGAGCATCAGGTTGGGGTCCAGAGCAAGAGAGGCTGGGCAAAAGGGAGTTTCTTTTTCAGCTCTCCCCGAGGGGAGCACTTTGCTGCATACCACGGACA